GTCCTAAATCTTTAGCCTCAAAGCCCCCCATATCAATTCAAGTTACGAAACCTTTGTAACACTTTGTAAAATACAACGTGTGGCAGACTGAGTCGAAAAAACCGTAGGCATTTTTTTTTTACACATTCACAATAACCCCTTCGCCATGAAGTCCCCCATTCTAATGTTCACACATATTTTTACGATTCTGTCTCCAATCAAATCGACTACACTCCGAAACTCTCAAGACCAACCTCGGGGCCGGATTTCCTATAGGGCCAAACCATGGGCGCCCGTAGGGGGGGGCAAGGGGGCACTTGCCCCCCCCCCTGGATTGATTAAATAAAAAATTTTTAGACAAAAATAGGCAAAAAATGTATTAAAGTAAAGAGAAAAATAAAGAGAAAGTAACTAAGCTGATGTTCTGTCCGTTCGTCCACCATAATACGCTACAGTAAATTAAAACTACATTAAAACATTACTAAAAAAATTGTGCCCCCCCCCCTGGAAAGTTAATCGATTTTTTCGCCCCCCCCCCTAGAAAGTTTTTTGCGGGCGCCCATGGGGCCAACCTAGGCCATGGCCTAGGGGAGCGGCAGTGAGGGTGCGTACATGCAGAAGAAATAACAAATATTTAAAAATTGTTCGGTATTACTTTGAAAAAAAGGCTATATAAAAATGTTGTAGTAGGGTAAAAATGAATTAAATGTATGTAGTTCAAAGATGTTAAAGATTGTATTAACTAATTATGTGATTTGGTCTAGGACACGTTTAAATCCGACCCGGAGTCCAAGCCTAATACCTTTGAAGATAAAGAAGAAATGCTTATCCTCTAATTCACTCTATTTATGGTATCCCCTTCTCTGCGTTACATATTTTTTTAAATTTTCCTTCATTCCCTTACTTTCACCAGTGAAGCAATTACAATTTGATTGCTGTTAGCATAATATGCTATTCCTATAGAAGCTTTATATTATAAAATTCGTCAGTGCATTGGAGGAAATCTGATTTCGAATGAGAAATGTCTCAATATATTTATCTGAAATTAAATTTTTGATATACCGGTAATTTAAAAAAAAATATGTAGTTCATAACTAAAAGTTTATTTACATGTCACAATATCTAGTTATAAATAAAGAAAACTAAAGCTCTTAGCCCATCTTTGGAAAGCCTACATATTTTACTAGTCCATGAACTTTGTAATACAATCTCCGAGTTGTCAGCCAACGGACAGAAATATTCTATAAATTAATGCCCCGTTTGTTATGTGTCAATAAAGCCCACGGTCCTGTCAGAAAACGAAGGATTTCCTAGGAAACGGAAGCTATGAAGATGTCCCGGCTAATCAAAGTCGGGTCGATGCGACCGCCTCTGCCCCCTAAACTCTGTCCGTTCCTATCAGTGTTCTGTGGCGTTATCGCGACATTTGAATTGTGCTCTTGATCGGTTCATCATTTTCAGCTATTAAATATTTAAACAGCAATAACGGGTACCAGACATAGGGGGGGGGGGGATGGGGGGCGCAGGAGGGGGGTCATAGGTGGATCCAAAAACATTAATGATAGATGAATTTATCGTAGCCTAATACCACACGATCGTTAATTCTACACCAATTTAACATTTTTTTTCCTCAGTAACAGGAACAGGGAATCTGGTTACTATGTCAAAGAACATAATTCATTACTGACTTTTTTCGTTTGACAAATTATTCCAGTAATTAATCTTAAGTAATGGATATCTTGCATTCATTGGAAGGAGGGGGGGGGGGTCTATCCCGGCAAACTTTTTTTTCTTTTAATTGAGAAACTGCAATTTCAGCCAAATGCTGAGTTGTTGTTTTCGTTTGAAAAAAAAACAAACAAAGGGAGTGGGGCAAATAACTTGGGCCATCCTAGTTGGCACTAACACTTCAATAAGTACGCCACTGCATAACATTGAAAAAAAAAATTCGATACATATTTTTAAGGCATCAAATTGAAATTATTTTTTATTATTAATTTCTGGAATAATCAATTAAGGGAGCACCAGGGACAAGGTCGATATTCACAAGAATTATGGCTATGCCACCGGGTAGGATAAACTGCTTTTTTTTTTTCTTCTTTTTTAAAAAAAAACCTTTTAAAAGGATAATGATTTTTCAGATACTTCAAAATTTCTTATGAACCACTCTTTAAAGACATGCCTGATGGTGCGACCTGTTATTTTTAAACCAACTGAATTGTGTGACTTACTTTTAGAAGCTGAGGTTGGTGTTGTTAAAACAGAACGTGTTGACATTTCTCAATGGTTGCGTGGCATCTGATGGAAAAATAGTGACAGTTCACTAATGTTGAGTGACAAGAAAACACGATAATCAAAAATTACTTTTCTGAAATAAACTCCTGATTCTTATTCAACTTTAGCGATAATCCAAAGGAGCCGGAAAATTATGAAATACGGCATTTGACCAAACGTAAAAAGAGTATTTTTATTATTTGAATTTGCTAACTATAACCAATGATTCCTCTTAATAGATTCCACTTGCTGAACTTAACTAAACAAAAGAAGAAAAAAAAAACACAAGATATTGGCCTAACTGTAAATAATTATAATTTGAGAATTTACTACCAGAAATCTTAAAATTGTGAAGTTCGTTAACCTTCTCATGCCATAACCGACAGCTTTCGCCTCTTAAAATTCCATCAGCGATTGCCTACAACGCCTGGCGGGGGGTTAGGGTTGGGGGGGGGGCAGGCATGTCAGGCGGACAGTCACGTACGACGCTCTTGAAGTTTAAGGCCGCGTAGTACAGCAACTAAACTACCAGACATTCGTCTACTTCATTTGACTTCTGCACTGGAGTACTCTGCACTGGAGTACTCTGCACTGGAGTACTCTGCACTGGAGTACTCTGCACTGGAGTACTCTGCACTGGAGTACTCTGCACTGGAGTACTCTGCACTGGAGTACTCTGCACTGGAGTACTCTGCACTGGAGTACTCTGCACTG